TTGAAAAATTATTCTAACTGCAAGGAGATTCATAAACTAGTTGTTGATTTTTGAATGTATACAATTTGTTATTGCACCGAAAAACAAAAATGATATGTCATTTTGTTCCTCAATGTATGTTCTAGAGAGACGGGTAGGTGGCCCATAGGGGTTCCATTTGAAAAAAAAATTGTATCAAAAAGTGATGTGGCTGAATTGATTCCTGGATAAGTGACACAAAAAATAATTTTTCAGTAAAAATTATGTTCTTCTGTTATGTGTGACTCATTGTGAATAGTCTTGACCACATCTCATTTATCCACGAGGTAAAATGAAAAAACAATTTTAATTCAAATTTTTTCGAAAACATTTGAAATAGAGATCGCACTTGTTTCGACCTGTTGAACTTGAATATGTAAAAATATACAGGGTGTTTCATTTGAAAAAACAAAGTTGCTGGCATTTCCAGAAATACCGGAAGTTCGCCATATTGGATTGTAATGTGATCAAATCCGAAATAATTGCTTATATAACTGTACCGAATTTCAGAAAAATCCGTTGACGAATGCAGAAGTTACAGGGGTGGCCCGATACCCTGTGTCACCCGGTATAGTAACACCAGAAGGAGTAAAGCCGAACCCCTCCAAAATTAAGGCCATCATCGAGTATCCCATCCCAAAAACTACTCGTGGAATTAAAGTTTTCCTAGGACTTATTGGCTACTACCGAAAATTCATCAAGGACTTTGCCAAAATAACAAAAATTCACAGTATGCTTGAAAAAAGTTGCCGAAATAAAACATGACGAAAAATTCGTAAGGACATTTAACCACTGTAAAACCCTACTCACAAACGACCCAATACTACAATATCCTGACTTTAGACTGCCATTCAACTTGACGACAGACGCCAGCAATTTCGCTCTAGGAGCAATCCTATCACAAGGACCTATTGGATCAGATAAACCAATAGCGTACGCTTCTCACACACTCAACAGCTCCGAGCAGAATCACAGCACTATTGAAAAAGAACTCCTAGCCACTGTGTGGGCCACCAAATATTTTCGGCCATACCTATTCGGCAGGAAATTCAAAGTGTTGACGAATCATAAACCTCTCGAATGGTTGATGTCTTTAAAGGAACCCAACTCAAGGCTAGTTCGCTGGAGGCTAAAGCTCGAAGAGTACGACTATGAGGTTATGTATAAAAAAGGCAAAAAGAACACCAACGCAGGCGCACTGCCGAGAATTGAAATCCACGCCAATGAAGTAGAACCATCGACTTCAACGAAAGAAACACCAGAAAATCAACAAACATTATTTCAATAAATGGAAGAGTTCAATGAGATATGAATAGACGAGTACCTCAAAATGACAATGAATCCGTAGCTAATAACATAGACGAAACGCCAAACATCGAGAACGTAGAAGAAGATGTAGAAACCATCCTTACAAACGAGGAGGATCCCATACAAGAAATTAATCCCAGCGAGTCACCAGTCAACGTATTTCAAAACCAGTTAATAATTTCGAAATCAACTCTACCCAGGAAACCAACAAAGAAACGTCTATGGGAAAACAAGAAGACCAGATGGAATATCTACTCAGTGAATGACGACCTTACACCCATAATATCATTTTTCAGAGAATTTGGGAATCCGAGAAGTACATATGCATTTTTCTTCGATAACGACAACGCAAAAAGTCTCTATACGGAACTAAGCAACAAACTGCGACAAACTTTCAGAAATTCGGCATTCAGACTCCTAAAATGTACCTCGAAACTTGAAGACATTACCGACAAATACAGACAGGAAGAACTTTTACAGTATCACCACGAAACTAGTACAAACCACCGCGGAATTCAAGAAACCATCCAACAAATTAAGAAAAGGTACTATTGGCCTAATATTGCCAATGACGTCAGGCAATTTTTCAATATTTGTGAGATTTGTCAACTTGCCAAATACGACAGGCATCCCCCAGAAATTCACTTACAGCTTGCACCCACTCCAAAAAGACCATTTGAAATAGTTCATGTAGACGTTTTTCAAGCCAACAATCAGATGTTTCTCACTTTTCTAGATAACTTTTCGAAATATGGACAAGCTTTTTCTTTGCCTTCTGCGGACGCGATATCTATCGTACATGCACTAATTGTCTTTATGTCATTTCACGGAATGCCCCTCCAAATTGTCGCCGACAGTGGAACCGAATTCAAAAATTCGACTCACCGATTTTGCCAAACTTCATAAAGTTAATCTCCATCTGACAACCCCTAAAAATTCTAACAGCAACGCCCCTGTATAACGCTTCCACTCGACTATTCTCGAACATCTCAGAGTATTGAAACTAGAAAATCCGCAAATGACTACTATCGAAATGATGTCCTATGCAATTTTCGGATATAACCATTCAATCCAGTCAGTTACGAAAAAGAAACCTATTGACATTATTACAGGACACCTAGACTCAAAAGACCCATTCGACATAGATCTCCACCAAGAATTACTTAACAAATATATACAGGAACATAAACAAAAAACTCAACTCATATACGACCACATTCATGAAATTTGTCATAGTCAAAAGGAAAAAGTAATAGACAAAGCGAACCAAAATCGTGAAGATCCGGTAACCTATAAAGAAAATGAAGATGCTTTTCGACACGATGTCAAAACTCGCATAAAAAAGTTAAAACCTCCTTTTATAAAAGAGACAGTCGACAAAGAAGAAGGAAGCAAACTTAAAACGCAACGAAATACTTACCATAAAAATATATTCAAGAAACCGAGGGCCAAAATAACGAAAACAAATTTGTTACAGGATACTCCTACTAACAACGACCCACCTAGTATCAACATCGACCAAAAACATACAAATAACGGACCTGCAGAACAATCCTGGAATTTTACCTTTCGAACTCGGTATTGCACAAATCAAAGTAGGAACACATACATTTTTACATTATTCAGAATTCAAACCAATCAAAAATGAAATAACAATTCTCGAATCTCAATATGGACAAATTGAATTGTCCTTGATTGAACAAAAACTGACTTCGACCTATGACTCATCCTTGCAAACTATCGACTATCAGATGAAATCGGTAAAAGAAAAATTTCAGTCTATTTATCCATTAACGGACAGGAAAAAACTCGAACTAATCAATGGGCTAGGTAACATAGTCAAAGCTATTTCTGGAAACTTGGACCAAGAAGATGCGAAACGATATGATGAGGCCATAGAAAAATTACAGAACAATGAAGGTAAAATCGTTAGTTCACTAAACCAGCAGATATCCCCAACACACCAAATTCTAGAAAATAATAATAAAACATTTTCTTTGATGATACATAAACAGAATATAATCAAAGAAAGTATAGAAGAACTGCAAAATAACAGTAGTTATTATTTTTCACTACTAGACACATTCACTCAAATAAAATTCAACTTAGATACACTGCTATCGATTCTCACAAACATCGAATAATATCAATCGAAGATATGAAATCAATTATGAGTTCGCTTCGTAAACATCATTCAAAAAATCTGCTGGTCTACTCAGATGTTGCCGATATACATGAACAATATGACGTAATTTCCGTAGAAGCATACTTTTCAAACGACAGATTAGTTTTTGCACTGCATATACCCCTCGTACATCCCGACATTTTCAACCACTACCACCTCTATTCGATACCCACGAAAAATTTAACCACAATAATTCCTGAAAATCCCTATTTCACAATGAGTGGCGACCTGTTCCAATATGAAGCTGAACCATGCCGCTATCTCGACACCAAGTATCTGTGTGAAAACAACTACCTAGTCAATGGACTCCAAGAACAAGATTGTCTCTTCTTAATTCTTCAATTAAGAGACAGCCGTGCCGAATGCCAAATAGTTTCTGTAACAATCAAGAAACACCTGATCGAGGAGATTAGCGAATCTTACTATATTGGTATTTTTCCTAATCGAGAAAAAGTCCAAACCAGATGCGACCAAACAGATTTTGTGATGCTCCAGGGTACCTCTTGCAAGTGCCGTATCAGTGTGGTGTCCAAACATCAGGATATGGGTATACCAACGAAAAAGGGGAATCCCACGAAAAAACACTACTCCTACCAGAAATCAAGATCCAGGAACTATTAGGGAATAACCAACTACACAACTATGAGCTACAACTTAAGGAAAACAGCATTCAACCTCTCCGAATTGACGATCAAGGACCACAAAATCACTTCTCATGTACGTATTAATTACTTCAATACTGCTATACCTGGGTATACGTACAGTCCAGAAGACCAGGAGGACATCTAGGACATCTGAAAGAAGCAACCAACCCCCTCAGCCGACAGAAGTTTTGTTCGTCCCATCCAAAACTTCCTCTTAAGAATGGAGGAGTTATGTCGTTGAACCAGCCGCTCGCAACCCGAAGATGCAGACGTTGCAGTTTACCCGACTCGACAAAATTCATTTGATATGCATTTCCAGGTTTCTCACATATTCATGTCATTCAACTAATTCATTCTGATTGTAAGGTTCACACGAATCGATTGTGTTAAATAAAAAGCAAATTTTGTTTTTTAAAAACGTTTTTCGTTTTCCAAAAGTCCACTTAAGTCGCGCAAACCATTACAAAAGCGTGCACGTATGAGTTGAAGTTTCCTTGCGTCAGATGCAAGTAGGGCATGGCCATATACATAGTCAAAATAAGTTATCTTGGAGAATATCAAAGTTTCACAAAGATTAATTTTAATTTGCTCAGATTTTTATTCTCTTCAATTGAACGGTGTCGTAATACATTGACTCTCAATGACCCATTTTTATTGGGCTGTCGAGGAAGAATTTCAGGGCCCATGTTGATATGCAATTTTTATCTGGGGAATTAGTTCATGAGAGATTGTGGCCGGGTTTAGAAATAGCAGAGTTATCGGACCTTACTCTGGTAATTGTCTCTGCTGTATAATGTTCGGACATTAACCACTATATTATTATTGACCTCATTTATTATTTTCAGGAACACACAAGAACACATACAGGCGAAAATCTTTCGACCTGCACCATCTGTGATAGACAATTTACTCGTCATCAGTATCTTGAGAAACATATGCGCACCCACACTGGAGAAAAACCTTTTACCTGCTTCATTTGCAACAAAAAGTTCACCCAGTCTTCAAGTCTCAAAGTGCATATAAGAATTCATACTGGAGAGAAACCTTATTCCTGCAATTTATGCAATAAGAAGTTCACCACATCATCAGACTTATCCGTACATGGTAAAAAGCACACTAAGTACATTGATTTGTAGGAAGTATTCCGTTTTTATGTGATATAGTCGTGACATTTTAACTTAATATATCTGCCCATTTTAGTTATTTAAAAATATACATATTTCATCTTGGTATATGATACTGAAAGTACATACATCCGAAATCGAGTAATTTATTTATTAATGTATACAATCAGGTAAAATATACATACTTTGTCAATGAAAATTGATTATCTATATTTTGAATCGTTCCTCTTTTACATAACCTGACCTGTAAACAAAGAAGGACTGGGCATCTCCACTGTAGTGCACTAATGCAAACTGCACTCACTGTGTGATTTGATTTTATGGTTTCCATGTGGGTAGTTGTTGAAAAGATTTTCTTGAGTCCTTGTCATATAATTGATTATGAGACATCATATAAGTCATCACAATATTATCGTTACTATTTTATTGAGAGGGTAGTTTCAATCAAATCGTTATGCAGGCCTGTACTTTTTTCTGCTTTTTGGGCTTATGAATGATTCGAATTAAAAACTAATCAAATCATCGTGAAGAATAATGTTGGGACTAGGGATCGATATCATTGAGGTCAAAACTCATTCAATTATAAAAGAAGAAACGTAAACATTGATGTTTTTTTTTCACAAATTGCAATATTTTTCATCTCAGTACAATTGGTGGAAATTCAGCATGGTGTCACTGAAATATTAGCTCCTGAAATGTTTTCATTCGGACAAAAAGCTTCAAAAACGATTATTTTCTCAACAAAATATCAATTCATCTCAGCTGATCTCAGTAAACTCAATTTCTTGGAAGAATGTAATGCAGGAAACTTGAATATGGTAGTTCAGACACTACCTAATAGATGGCGATGTTCGTAACGGCAGACAGGGGAACTGTATGGCTTACAGTAGCAGAGGAAAATGGTGCATTGTGTTACCAGCAGATGGAGTTTTGGGTGAATGATGAATTCAAACCCGCTTACATTGTTGCCAATGTTACACACACCGCTCGCACAGATTATAAAATTTACGCGAAGTGGTAATACAGGGTTTTATCTGAGTACCTCAAGGGGTGGTTCTCCAGGTGATTCCAAGACGAAAAAATCATATAAATATTGGTCCAGTAATGCTTCGTTTTCAATACCATTCAATACACAGGGTGTCAAACATTTCGAACGAATACTTCAAAAATATTTTCAATCAAATGAAACGCAGTTTTTTTATTGCTTTCATCAATTTTGATAACAAATTAGAAGAGTCCTGATATGGAGAAAAATAACAGGTATACCACAGTTTTTGGTGGTTTGGTAGTGTAACGACCTTTACTTCTGTGGCCCTCACTTTGGCGCTCTGTTCAGGACGAAGACTACTCTGGTATTTGACGGAGGGGTCTCGGGCGCCAGATTGTTTATGAGGTAGTTTACTCTACCTGTTCTGCACAAAATATTTTTGTACAAATAAGTTCCGAAGTAACAACAGTGGAGAATGGTACCGGAGGTATACCTACTTCGGTACCTACAGTATAAACCAGGGGTCGATGTCATTGAATCGACCTGTAATTAACAAGGAGCCAAGGAGTGTAAGTAGGGGATTAATGAGATAGCTGTAACGGCACCCCCCACCCTAGGCACCCCCCACCACGCCTCCTATGAGAGTTCTGTAACGGCACCCCCTACTCAACCCCCTGTGAGAGTTCTGTAACGGCACCCCCCACCCAACCCCCTATGAGAGTTCTGTAACAGTACACTTCCTACCCCAACCTGCTATGAGAGTTCTGTAACACTGCCTGCTATGAGAGTAACGCTGCCTGCTATGAGAGTGCTGTAACGGCACCCCCTACTACATCAATTCATACCTATCAGGGGTATTGAGACTTTTGTAACAGTAACCTTCTTTAAATCTTAATATAAATTCCCCTGATGACTCAAAACTGTGATTATTTTCCCGAACTGAAATTCTCCTTATTTGATAATATCAAGGAAGTGCCTCCGATGAAAAATTTTGTGTAGAATTTGAACCAATTTCCTAAAATAGAGTTATCAAAATAATCAAGAATGATTCATACATCTACTTGGGGTATGAATCAGTGTGCAAGCTATGGGAACTGCTTCCAGTCATCAAGTATAGAACTGAAATGTTCAAAAGGCTAACTACATCAAGAATCTTCAGAAAGGTGTTCAGACCATTGGAGGAAATGTCTTCACTGCTGCAACAAACTTGCTTGGTGAGAATCACAACTACAGCAGTAAAAATGTATGTATGGCTATGGAATTGACTCACATGTATCCAGACGTATTCGAAAAAAATCAGTTATTGATGGTATGGAGTTTCGCTCATAATGCAGCTAGAAAAGGACATTGGCATGTGTTAGCTTTAGATAGAATGCGCTTTCACAAAAGAATAAAGGAGATCACCAATTTGATTTCACCTATTTTGAATGCAAACCATAGATACAATATTTTCAAAGAAAGATTCTGTGGAATAAAATGACATGTTCTGAATAAATGCGTTTTATTTTTGTTAATTGAATCAAATCAATTCATTTTTATTAATCCAAGAGTTATCAGCTGAAACCTAACCATCTCACCAGCAATTCATTCCCTTCTCTTCTTATCACCTCAATTAAATAAACATCTGGATATTTTGCCTTCTGCAGTTCTTCGGAATAGAAAACTCCTGAGATTGATCCACCACTCTGATTTTCTAAGAAATTGTAATGTTTCTGCTATTTGATGGATTCAGTAGTACGGTATTTATTCAATAAATGATGGTCATAAGGAGTATCTATTTATTTCATATGATTCTATTGATAACAAAATGTAATCTGTCTCTCTACATAACAACCGTCATTAACCTGCCAACCTACTCGAATACATCACACACCTTCCCCCTCAAGTCAGTCAAGTCGAATCATCATCCTGGACATCACATCCCAATCTCTCTGGAGCTCTCCTTATTCTAAAACTTCTTCGTGGTGGAACTGTGGTGATTCCATCTTTCCCAATTATATTCCGTGGTACATTGTAATCATCTCCTACAGTGGCATCCATGTCCTGTCGCTGATCCATTTCAACTTCGACTTCGGAGAACGAGGAAGGAGAATGTTGATCACTAATTTCTTCCTCCTCCCTTCCAAGATCTCCACGGTGATGACCCGAGCAGTATACAGGAAAATCGATTATTTGATTCACATGGCGTCTCCATGTTTTGTTCAGTTCTGGTATCCAAACAATGTAAGTTCGGGGACAGATTACTTTTTTTACAGTACTTGTTGTTGTTTTATTCACAATTCTATAGTCCCTAACGGCTACTTCATCATTAACTCTGAAGGTTTTATTTCTTTTTTCAGAATATTTAATTTGACTTTGTTTACTTTTCTCAACTTTATCTATTAATTCAGATCCGTGAGTTGAATTTACATCATCTGGAGTTCTTTTTGGCTTCAATAAATCAAAGATACTTTTTATTTTCCTAACAAACATCAATTCTGAAGGTGAAACACCTGTACTACAGTGTGGTGTAATTCGGTAAGTTAAGAGAAAATTATTCAAAATTACATTGATTCGTGATAAGTTATTATTGTCCACCAATTTTACTAATGTATTTTTGATTATTTTCACTGCATTCTCAGCAGCACCATTCGAAGCTGGATGAAATTCTGGAGAATTGACAAATTTGATTCCATTCCTTTCCAAAAAATCACAAAAGAGATTTGATTTGAAATATGTTGCATTTTCTGACACCACAAGATTGTTAGAATTTAGGCAATGGAGGTAAAAACTAATATTTTCTGTTTGATTGAAGAAAATACAATGACGTTACCAAATTTTATTATGACAACTAACTAAACTGTTCCATACATAGGGTGATGTAACATAACACAATGATCTTATTGAAATCAAGCAACTATTGCATTACATATTTCAACACTCCCACATAATGAAATAGTTAAACAACCTTATAAAGACCTAAACCTCTGACACAAAATTCATGTTTTGGTTTGGGAAGAGGTTTAGTACAAATATCCGCTACCATCTCAGATGTATGCAGATATTCCAACGAAATTTCCTCTTGGTCGATTTTTTCTCTGATGAAATGAAACCGTACGTCAATATGTTTCGTTCTTCTATGCATAACTGGGTTTGAAGCAATTTTCTGTGCACTCTGATTATCGTTGAATAATTTCACTGGCTTGCAAACTCCCAACATCTCAGTATAAAGGTTCTTCAGATAAATTGCTTCCTTTGTAGAATCGCTCAAAGCCATATATTCAGCCTCACTGGAGGACATAGCTACTGTACATTGTTTTCGGCATTCCCAGGAAACAGCAGCATTTGCGAATTTGAAAACAAATCCAGTAAAAGATTTTCTATCTGAAGCATCACTGGCCCAATCAGCATCAGCAAAACCAGTAAGAATATTTTCACTATTCTTACTGTACACAATTCCCAAATCTGCAGTTCCCTTAAGATATCGTAGAACACGCTTAACAGCTTGCCAATGTTCTGCAGAATGTTTTATATTGAATTGACTCAAGTAAGAACAAGCAAAGGAAATATCAGGTCGAGTCATAACACACAAATACATCAAACATCCAATTAATTGCTGATATGGAACATTTTCTGAACAGTTTTGGAAATCATTCGTAAACTTCACACCAGCATCCAATGGCGTGTTGACTGGATTACAATCTTGCATATCGAATTTATTCAGCAAATCAATGATATATTGTCTCTGACTGAGAACAACTTGCCCTTTCTTCTTGTCGATAGTGACCTTCATTCCAAGACAATGACTAGTCACACCCAAATCCTTGATGTGAAAATGCAGTGAAAGTTCTTTGATTAACTTTTCAGTTTCATGGTGATCATTGTAGAAAAGAAAACAATCATCAACATACAATGCCAAAATCACGATGCGAATGTCTCTTATCATGAAATACAAACAGCTTTCGTGGTCCGATTTTTTGAAACCTAGAGTACGAAGAACTTCGTCAATAATCTTGTTCCAGGCCCGTGCTGACTGTTTGAGGCCATAAATAGCCTTTCGAAGGAGACACACTTTGCTTTCTTCCCCCTCAACAATGAAACCTTCTGGTTGAGCC